AACTGCTGGGTTTTAGTCATCGAATAATACTAGCCGTGCCTGATTGGGTCGTGTTCAGTAAATCAGCGCGGTTCCGTTAATTGTTAATGGTCAGGAGATAGTTATGTTGCGTTGTTTCTTACACCCGTGTAGCTCTGGTTAGCGCCGAGTTTGCACAGTTCATTGATCCTTTCTTGACAGTCTTCCTTTTGTTCGATGGCTATTTATTCAGTATGTTTTACCTTAAAAGGGTGACATTAATGCTACAAACACAAGCTCTGAACAATTTCATAAGCTAGTAAATATAGCATACATGTATGTGTTTATTTGTCAATGTATAGTAAGTTTGCTTAAGCGAATCTAATAACTTTTAAAATCTGTTGCTGAATAGTTCAAATAAACTAGTCAAATTTTTAAATGAGATTAGCGATTATTTTTTTTCTTTTGCAGAAATATTGAACTAGAGACACGATGCATGACAATATCAAAATCATTTAAAACATGTTGAGTGGGATTTCTTAAACAATAATAATAATGTAGAAATCTATTCACGATGCATTTAAAGTGTTGCTCTATAAAGAAGTTTATTATTTGCTGTTGCGTCTTTGTATTCTTTCACCAAGTTAGAAATCCTCTTAAACTTTTCGTGGTTTGAGTCTACAAGAAGTTGGAATAGAACAGATTCTGAGCTAGTTATCAAAGCACCAGCTTGACGCATACGCTGTGTAATAAAAAAACCGGAAATTTTTGTAAAACAGATCGAACGAAAAAGATAGACCGATAATCAATAATCCACTTACACCTAATGCTATATCAATTTCAGGGTTATTCATCGAAGAAACTCCGTCTGCCAGAACGTGTACATTATAATTATTTTCGAGAAGATCCAGCGTTGTTTGTAGTATACACACATGTGACTATTTTAAAGTAAAAATTATTTGAGAATAAAAAACGGATCAATGTAAAAAAGCAATAATTAAAAAGAGATTCTTTAAATATAAATACTTCTATCCCGAAAAGAACAACCGAATTTATCGAATTTTCCTTGAGTAATTTCTCTATTTCCGGTAAAAACATGGAAAATTTGGTTTTGGGCAATACGATCTTTGCGTAGGAAGTGTCAATTTCTGGTACTGTGTTTCCTAAGGCTAATTATATCATTGATATCAGAAGTGCTCCTTTACTAAACTGCTTATTTATTATTTTTATTTTTAAGGATTGGATGTTAACCTTTTGGATTCTAAAGTAATTGATGGAAATAATTTATTGCTGTTATCGAAATAAAAGTTCCAACATTCGTACAAGTTGTTACATTACCTGCTCGGTAACAACAATTGGAATATCGAGTATTTTCGCTGCGGAGATCTAGAATTTATTCAACGCACATAAAAAACTTCTCGCAAAGAACAATTTCACTTTTTAAATGAAATTTACCATTTTATTCGTAGTGGAAAGCAAACTAGGAAATTGATATATAAAATGTCGAAACCTCTCTTGAATATCACACACGAAAAAAGCTGTAGTAGACAAGTTTAACTTTGCTACATTGCGAAGGACAGACATTTTGGTAAATCTTCCGAAGAATGTTGGAAAAATGACTTTTATAACGTTTGATTTACCGTTACGCAACAGGTAGTAGGACAAAAAAAATGTAGTAAAACATAGACATATACTTTGCGGCTAGCTTCGAAGCCGAAAAAGTTCTAGTAACAGAAATCGCAATAATGGAAACGCCAAGGACCGTTTCTCCCCCCATTTCTCATAATTCGACTTCAAGTGCTGGTGTATCCACAAATAGTAGCAACAACGCACCTCCCACCTCCATTCTTCCAAACGCGCCATTTCCACAACCAGCTCCTCGTCCACCTTCACTCTCGTCAGTTTCGGCTTCAACGACTGCAACAACTGCAGTAGATCCCGCCGGTGGGATTAATCCGCATTCCTCGTACGAGAATTTTACCGAGTTAGTGAATAAACGTATACTCACTTTTCAGTACTTGAAACGTGCGCATGAAGGGCGAGTACATTGGTTTAATACTGTGTGCTTGTCGAAAGAAGATTTGGTTCTGTGGTATCAAAACGATAGAATGAAGCGACGGTAAGGATATTAGTTTTGACATTACTAGTGACGCTGATAGTATTCTTTCTTTTTGCATGTTTAAAGGGATTTACGCGTTAACTATTCTTTAGTACTGGTAATTTTTTCATTCTTGGCGCGTCGTTGGCACCAATATTGGATATCACCAATCCGCCTGATTACGTGCGTGCGTTAACGGTGATGTTACAAGAATTTGAATATCATACGAACGAAAACTCGAGGCAAAAAATGGTTAATAAATTATTATTTTTACTATTTTACAATCTTTGAAATTTATTAAAATTTATTAATTAACGGATCAATAAATAATTCAACATCAGAAAATGTTTTTCAGAAAATCAAAAATAAATAAGGATGAGGACGCGTCATTTCAAGAAAGTGGAGAATACACGTATCTTTTTGTGCCTAATATAGTAAGCATTTTTCTTTTCTTTAATCTATAATAAAGAATCTATTTTTTCCCGAGATTTCCAACATTTAATGAGAATTTATTGATTTTAGCCTTTTGAATTAGATTATTTTCAGACATTTTACACGTTATGTGATATTCTGGTAGAAACATACAATAAATTCTTGATTGACACGACGAATTTATGGTCCGGGCCGTTTATAGAAAGTGTAATGAAAGTTGATGGGAAATTCAAGGTTCTTTTTAATTATTTAAGCAACACAGTAATAAGATGAATTTTTATTGATTTTTTCTAATATGCATATTCTTAGAAAATTATTTCAATGGTCGCAAAGGAAATTGATCAGCTAGCAAGAAACGCAATAAAAGAGGAACTACGATCTGTCGACCCCATGATAATGATGTCTTCCGGAAATAATAATAATAGCAGCAAAAAGGAAAAAGACAAAGAGAAGGAAAAGGAGAAAGAGACATTAATCAATGATTTGTGGGATGGCGCATGGCCCGAACAAAAGCAAATACTTAGTTAATAATGGAAAACTTAATTTTTAAAATATATATGCTATTTTCTTGGTGGATTTTTTTTTTGTGGAAATATAGAGGTGTAAAATAGTAGACAAGCTTAATTTTTAATTTATATTTAACTTAATTCATTAAAAAATCGTGTATATATATATTATTAAGACAATGTGTTTGATTATACCGTTAAAGTCAAATGATCTCAATGATAATTAGCCGTGGGAAAGTTCAAGGCTTACCGTTACATAACTTCTTAATTCGGAAGTAAATTTCAGATCTGTGATAGGGGCTCGATTTCTTAATTAAGCATATAATTTATTTTTTGCCATACATATAAATACACGCCGATTCGAGATTTGGAAGAAAAAAATTTTCCGACGCGTAAGATAATATGACCACCGAAAGGTATCATTGTAACTTAAGCAAATAGTTTGATAATTCGTGGACAATTAATGAACTATCCTTTTTTTTTAATCGCATTAAAAGGAAAATTCTTTTGTTCGGCTCAGGATTTGTCGCCGGTCCAGCTGTCGAATATATTTTACGACGTCCGGAAAATCGCTTGACAATTGGTAGTTAAACTTTCTTCATAATAGTTTTTCAAATGAATGTTCCTGTTTGCTTCAGAATTACATACGTCTAATAAACTGTCAGGAACAGCTGTCCGTCATATTGAACAAGCTCGCGCGCTCGCAAGACCTTTTGGATCACGTGCTACAGCCATTTCTTTGGATGTAACAAATGAGCAGGATTTGGATAATCAAGTGTCAAAGCATGATCTTGTGATCAGGTAAGCGTTGGTGTGGGTTTTTTGTCGGATTTAATATGATTGAGAACCTTTTATCCAAATGCTTTTCTTTAAGTTTATTTACCGCTTTCTTTTTTTTCGATAACGACATTGAATTTGTGTCGTATTGTTATATCTTGCTTTTCTTTTTGTGGTTTAATCTTTGTACTTCAATGATCTGATTATAGTATGTCATCTTATTGAAATTACTTTTTTATTGTAAAATTATGACAACGATGATGACAATAATAACTATTGATATTACTATCAAAGCTTGATTCCTTATACTCTTCATCCTTTTGTGATCAAGTCTGCTATCAAGTTCAAGAAAAATGTTGTCACGACTAGTTACGTTTCCGATGCCATCAGGGCCTTTGACGAAGCGTAAGATCTTTATATGACATATTATAAAGTGTTATGATTTGTTTGTTCCCTAATCTTCATCTTCTTTAATATAATTAGGGCAAAGGAAGCTGGTATCACTATAATGAATGAAATCGGTCTTGATCCCGGTACGTATTTATTTAGAATTCAAATTTAGTATAAACTAAATAAATTGCATATAATTCTTTTACAGGAATTGATCATCTATACGCTGTAAAAACAATTAATGAGGTCCATCAAAAGGGTGGCAAGGTAAATAAAATTTTTTGTTTCAATTGGTCGTTTATATCATAAATTCATTTGGCCTCAATTGTATCAAAATCGAAACAGATTTTATCATTTATATCATACTGTGGTGGTCTTCCTGCCCCGGAAAACTCTAATAATCCACTAGGTTACAAGTTCAGCTGGTCATCGCGCGGAGTCTTACTCGCGTTAAGAAATTCGGCGAAATACTACGAAAATGGCAAGGTATTGCCTTATCATTACATCTTCTAGGATCGGTTTTGCACTTATTATATTACTCTTAATAATTGCGTTGTGGGAAATAGGTTGTGGAAATCGCTGGACATGATCTTATGGACACAGCGAAACCATATCATATTTATCCGGGCTTCGCTTTTGTTGCATATGCAAATCGCGATTCTACTTCCTTCAAGGAACGGTATAATATTCTTGAAGCGAAGACGATTGTACGTGGTACGCTAAGATATCAGGTATGACAATTGGAAGGAGATCTCCACTCTATATTGCTTTTCATTTTATTATTGATCATTCGTTTAAATTCAGGGATTCCCATCTTTTGTTAAAGTATTGGTTGATGTTGGGCTTTTGGATGATACACAGCAAGATCATTTGCAACCGGATGCGCCGGATATTTCATGGGTATACATAATCTATTTGATGTTTCATTTTCTTCTGTATGGAAATTGAATATGTATATTTTTTGTTATTCAATTAGAATCAAGTTTTAGCACGACTATTAAGTAGCCCGAGCATTCAAGAAAAGTTGGTTTTCCGAAATTTTTGATTATTTTCTTAATTTAACCGAATGACTCCAAAATAATCATTTTGGTATATTTCTTATCACAAAAAGTGACCTTCGTGCGGCAATTCGTTCCAAAGCATCGGGAACTATAGAGCATGATGATATTGAGAGAATTTTAAACGGCTTTAAATGGCTTGGACTTTTCTCTTCTGATTTAGTTGATCGTCGAGGGACACTACTTGACACATTATGCGCGACGCTTGAAGACAAAATGAAATATGGTGAAGGCGAGCGTGATATGGTGTTACTGCAGCATAAATTTGAGATTGAACTTAAAGATGGGACAAAGGTATTTTATAATTTTTTATTTAGTTAATTATTGTAATAGAAAAGATAAAGTGTATGCGTAATTTTTCATCTATAAATAATTCTTTTTCTTAGGAAACGCAAACTTCTACATTATTAGCCTACGGGAACCCGAACGGTTACTCTGCTATGGCAACCACTGTTGGTACACCATGTGGTATTGCTACACAGCTAATTCTCGATGGTGTGATTAGTAAAAAAGGTGTTTTGGCTCCGTATAGTCCGGAAATTAATGACCCTATTATCGAGGCTTTAGAAAAAGAAGGGATCAAAGTACTCGAAGAGAAATTGTGAATGTATTGAGGTCATGGATGTATTCTTATTTCGCAAATTATTAGAAATATGGATTACTTAATTTTATAAAATATTTATAGAAATAAATTATTTTTATTTTCATATCAAATAATGAAAACCTCATATATACAAATAATAACTTTACATTAAAGAATATAATGATCCCTTCATATATATAGATCATTAATAATAATAATAATAATAATAATAATATAAACTCATACTTTTGACAATTTTACCCTCAAATATTTGAATTCTATGCTTTTCAAAAATCCCCTAGACAACATACCATACTGTTCACTGATTCGCAATAATTTCAATTTTTTACAACCATCAATCAAACATTTGACCCCAACTTCCGTGATATTACGACATCCAGTAACATCAAGACATTTCAACTCTGCGCAAGATTTGCCCAACATTTTTAGTGACTCATCCGTCACATTTTCACAATGTGAAATAGATAAATTTTGCATGGATGTCAACGAACTTAATGAAGAAACACCTACATCTGTGATGCTGCGACAATTTGCCAAACCTAAATCTCGCATGTTATAACAATATTTCGATATCTCCAATAACGATTCATCGGTGATCGCTAACGAGTTTGTGAAATTCAATGAGATCAAACGTGTGCCACAATGCTTCGCCAATTTTGTAAAGGTGATATCAGTAATTCGCGGACAATTCTCCAGATTCAAAACCGATAGACAGCGACAATTTTCCACAAGTAAAGACATCGAATCGTCAGTGATTCGTGTGCATCTCCTCAACTCCAGATGCAAAAGTTTAGTGCAAAAAGTAGCAATAGCAACCACCCCATTATCCGACAATTGTCTTGGTGAATCAATGATCAACGTCTGGAGTTTTGTGCATGATTTAGCCAGATCTTGAATTAGAAAATCTTGCACTATATAATAGATATCAGAGAAATCGAGATGCTTGATCATTGGTCCGTAACGTGGCGGATGCATTTCGCGCTTTGCGTATTCGTTGGTTAGTGTGCGAGATATTAATTTCCAGTCGTTGGCCATTTGTGACCATGGCGAGTGCCACAAGGATATGCTTGCTAGTGTGTTCCATCGTTTATTGACGAGTACACAAGCGCGTAGAGTTGATCTAAAACAATATTTGAAAATCACCGATAGGATTTCCGGTGGAAATGCTAAGCATGGATCTTTGGATAGTTGATTTTTGAGTCTTTGAGCCATTTTCTTTTACTCTCGCCGCTAGGTTTTTGTCGTTAACCTTTGGATTTTATGATTACAGTTATACGCTATTTTACATGTGATAATCAGATATAAATGTATTTTGATCAAAAATACCATTGGCTGATTTTATTTCAATTATTTCACCAATCATAAAGTTTTAGAGTTTAGCGTGGTTTTTAATGTTTTTAATTAACGTTGGTACGTGACGAGTAATTTTCACGGGATCAAAGATATCTAAGTATAAAATTAATAAAATTGAGGGAATATTAATAATAATTATTATTATATAATTTAAATATAATATTAATTCAAAATAAAATATATTTTATAATAATAAATATAATAAACTTTATTAATAAAACTAAAATCTTTTTATATTAAGAGTTTCATTTATAAGAAAGATTTATAATATAATATAAAAAAGATTTTAATTAAATTATTATAATATTACTAATATATTCTTTAATAATCAAATAAAATGTATATAAGTAAATAGAAAAGAATTTATATAAAAAGAAAATTGTCAAGGTATTAAATTATAGAAAAACAAATATTTAAAATATTTATTAATATAATAAAAAAATTATAAAGTATTAAAAAAATAAATAAATATAATAAAGATAATAAATATAAAAGAAAAATAAAGAAAATATAGTGGGACTAAATTTATTAATAAAACATAGTGAAAATTGAAATTTTCTCTATATTAAAATTTATAATTTTATTAAGAAATAATTTTTATTTTTAT